CCCCAAAACCCCAAAACCCCAAAACCCCTGAGGGATATTTAACCATAGAAAATGTATCCATTAAATAATTATTTTTATACAAATAGTACCTCAACCAGAATTGATTAGAACGCCTAGCCTAGGATGGGAAAAGTATTATCTCGAGCTCTTGGCTATCAAGAAGAAATCAAACAGAGAGGTCTTCTGCACTGAATGATTGATGATCCTCAATTTTGAGCAGAAGCTCAAGCATAACACTAAATTTCCTAACCATAAGGAATGAATTCTTACTTCATCGCAGTTTACAAGTGAAATACAGTTCTATCATATTGCTCCTTCTAACCATAAAGTTATCAAGGAGCAGATAGGAAGCAGGCTGGTCATCAGATCTTATTTCTATTAGTCCTGTCTTGACACCGGTTCTGTTAATATAATGGAGAACTTATGTAGAGAGGTGCACTCAAGACCTCTTGGTAGCAAAAAAAGTCACGTAGACCTTAATCGTACACTAGCAGATAAACAGTTCTGATAGAAGGATAATGATTTCCTTGTGCTTCAGTAAGATTCAAATAACCTATCTGATAAGAAAGCATTGAAGAATCTGAGTTATTCTCTTAATATGATGGCGGGTGAGATATGCGAATTTGAAAGCAAGATTTATTTCCTCTTCTAAGAATGTTTAAAAGAGCCCATTGAAGCACATAAATTTCAGCCCTCTTCTTCATTTCCCTAACAAAGTAAACTATCCAATATTCCTACCAGCACCTTCAAGGCAATGCTCTGTGAATCAGCTTCCAGAATTGCCAAATCAGAAGAAGGTAGTCTCTAGCATGGGAAGCTTTTAAATAACCCAAATTATTATTAAACTTTCTTCAAATTGTTTCGGAACTTTAAAGGATTCATAAAATTGAACAGTGCTTGCTTTTCTGTAAACATTTCCATTTGATAAAAATTAGCAAGACAGCTCCTTTGCGACCGAAGCTCCTTTAAAAGAAGGAGCTATATTAGCTTCCCAGTCTCTTAATTACCTTTGAAAATTTGAGTCCATATCCTTCTTCCCCAATATTTCCTAAGTAATCTATTTCTAATAAGGTATAAAAATCTCTGTGAAATTATAGCAAAGAGAAATATCCCTCTGCTGGGAATTCTTCGTCACAATGTTTCCATCTGTATTATTGATCATGCATTGTTTACAGGCGATTCCTGAATTCCCATAAAATTTATCACAAGCAAGGCCCTTCATTTCCAAAGATTTAACTGTATTTCTAGCTCAGTGGATACCCTAGATCCTTTCAGTCCAGCCCACTGTTGCTTTCTCCAATTCTTGATCTAAAATATTTCTGAAGCGAGTTGTTATACAGGACAGATTTCCCTCCTCTACCATGCATTAGAACATTACAAAACGATTCTCTGGCTATGAATCAAAGCATGCTCTTAATGCCACAAAAATTCTAAAACGAGCCAAAGGACTTAAACCCATAACTAATTCTTGAAGCAAGTAGCATATCCTTTGATATAAAACTTCTAAACCCCAACTGCTATTAAAGAGTTGAGTCATAATTAGTTCTGACAAAGTATAAACTTTCACCTAAGACTCCATTTATTAAAGATAATCTGAGATTAACATAATCAAACCTCTCAGAGCTTTGCTACAACAAAATAAAATGTATGAAAGAGCTTATCAAATTAGTGAGACCAGCTGAAGCTAAGTGTCTCTCGTGCTTCCTTCTCTAAAAATAGAACTCTGGCCACCTTTGAAAGAAAATTCTAAAAACTAGTTTTAATAGAATCTCCAAATGTGTTCAGTCATTTGTAAAGAAGAGGGAAAGAAAAAGTCGGGATTACGAAAATGACGATGGAACAGCCTTAAGCTTATACTGATACTCTTATTTTAGGGGAAATACCAAGATCTGACTTGAAAGGGCTTAATCATGAACAATTTTTATTGGCACTCGTCGGTTTTATACTTCATCAAGTACTACTAGTACTAAAAATAATGTAGAAAAAAATGGTTAATCTAGGAAAGGTATAAGACCCTATTGGAAACATAAGCTAGCAAACTCCCTCATTCTCTTAATATTCAGTTCTTAAATTTACTCAAGAGGTTATCGAATTAAGGCTGAGTAATATCTATGTCCTGATAGAATTTTCCTTGATTCTGAAAGTTTGGGTCGATAAGCTCTCAGTGTAATGTCAATTATTCCTAGCAAAATTGCAACTAGATGGATTTTTGAATCTGAAAGAATGAACGAATGACAAATTCTAACTTTTTCAGTCTTCTCAAAGCTTTAATAAATCGTTGAGGTTCTTTGGTCAATTTTCCAAGATCCGCTTAACTTTATTTTTTCCCAATAAACCCTGCATCAAGTCGTTCACTTTAAAATTTACTGGAAAACTTGAAATTATTTTAAAATGTATTCATTAACGTTTTATGAACATAGGGATGGTTATCTTTTAAGTTTTAGAAAACAAGCTTACTTTATTTCATATTTCTGATAATTGTAAAACCTCTTCATGTAATGAACTGTTTGAATAATTGCAGATTTTATTGTAATAGTATACTAGACCAGTCTCTGTCCTAATGACAAACCTTCTAGACTTTCAAAGAGCTAATTGATTAATGAAAAACTTTCATGAATTATGAAATGATTCTCTTTTGTTCTATTAGTCTATTTACCAAATATTATTAATCCAGAATCAGAAGTTCTTCCCGATAAATATTCTAAGGAAAAATTTCTAAGTTTCACTATACTTTTTATTCTAATCATAAGCACACCTCAAAACAAGAGCCAGTACAAGAACTCTATATAAACCCTCTATAGAACTATCACAAACCAATCGTCGATCTAATCCTCCATCTTAAAACACCCACCACAGTACCTTCAAAACTCACACAAACTCCCGCTCAGGCACCAGTTTCTTAATTTTTCTGCTTCCATTCACCCTTGTTTTCATAAATTCCTACCAGCTTTAATCTTTTGTGTGAAACCTCTCTTGTGGTCAGCCGCTGGTGTTCAGCAGGATAGGTTGAATGGGTAAAGTTATGAAGAGTAGGCGTGAGAGTAGGGGTTCAGTCAGAGATTGATGAGGTGGTCATTGAAGAGGGAATATGTGGGGAAATAGGGGATTTTGGGGATGGATTTGGGCTTTAGGGGTTGGGAGGAGACAGAGATGTTTAGGGATTGTGTGTTTGGGGGTTATTGAGGTTTACTGGTGTTTTGAAGGGATTATTGAAGTGTATAGGCCGGATAGCTGATTATTAAAAGATCTGATATCTTATCTTCATTATTTACTTTAAGAAATATAATATATACTAATAACTCCTGCGAATTTTTCTATTCTAATTGATCATCTCCTAAATTTTTATTATCTCTTTACTCTATACCTTTTCCACCCCAACTTTCAATTATCTCTTAAAACCTTGGGGTTTTGGGGTTTTGGGGTTTTGGGGTTTTGGGG